ACAGAGCAGGGTTTAGGGCTGTTGTACATAGGGTCACTATGAGTTGCAGGTGACTTGATGGCACATAACACCAATAACAACAAGGAGGGAAGGGGTGGGATCAGAGGGGTGAGGATGGGTAAGGGTGAAACCACAGGGTTGCACAGTGGGTGGAAGGAGGGATGAAGGAAATGGGAAGGATCCAGAGGGAATCTGAAAAGATCAGGTAATGATGGGCAAGTTCCAATGGTGATTGATTTTATAACCAATGAAGAAGTTTATCTTTTGCTTTTTGAAGAGACAAGAGAACTTGGGGTGGGAGGGAAGGGGAAAAAGTGCAACAATGAATGAATGGAAATCCAAAATCTCTGTAAATGTTCACGAAAATTAATAAAATGAAATTTAAAATAAATGAAAACAACTGATTTAAAAATATCATAATGAATGAGAATTGTATGAAACATAATACGAATGAATCATAATGTGAAACACAATGTATATGAACTTTGGGAACAAACCAATAGAAAATAAATTTTTTAAAAAAGAATAAAGATTACTTTTAAAAGGAAAAAATAATAAATCAACAACCTGTGGTTTGCAGAAGACACAATTTTTCTTGTTGAAAGTGAGGAGGATTTGAAACACTGCTGAGGATCAAATGTTATAGCTTTCAGTATGGATTGCATTTCAATATCAAAAAGACAAAATTCTCACCATTGGGCCAATAGGAAAAACAATCACAATAGATGGAGAAAAGATTGAAATTGTCAACAATTTCACCTTATCTGATTTTGTTTATTGACCCACAATCAATATCCTTGGCACCAATAGTTAAGAGAGGCTATACTTTGCATTGGCTCACCAGTGGGCCATGAGAGCAATGATGGTCAATCTCCTTTAATCTGGAAGGAGATCACAGGCTCTCCACAAAACAATGAAAGGGATAAATTTATTTGAAGAGGATCCATAACTTAACAATGTTCAGTCTTCAATCCACTGGCTCATCTCCATTAAGTAACTCCTCCTTTCATGTTCATTTCCCTTGGCTATATTTGTTGTGTTCCAAATAAAGCCCTGCAAACCATAAAATCATACCCGCTACCATGGCACTAAGGCATAGAACTCAAGAGAAAAGGATTTTTTTCAGATTCAAGAGAAAGAACTTCCCCAGAGAGCTGGCATCTTGGATTTGGAATTCTAGCCTTCTAAAAGAAAAGAATCCCCATGGTATAATGGTTAAGGAGTGCACTTCTGCCAATGGAGATTGGTGGTATTAGCCCACCCTCTGAGGAAGAAAGATTGGTAATCTGCTCGCATAAAGATGAAAGCTTCAGATACACCATATGGTCAATTTAGAGCTCACTGGACTGCTGTGAAAAGAAATAGAATCAATGGCAGTGGATGAAACGCTGACAAAATAAATTATGTTACAGCATCATTAAAAAAATGAAAACAGGCTTGAAACGAATTGAAGATAAGAATTCTTGGGACAAAACTTTTAGGTGTTCTTTTTTATTTTCTTGATTGTTTTTGGATAAAATGCAACTTACATATTCTCGTTAACAATGGCAATTGATGGGACAAAATAATCTCTTCACTTTTGAGATGGGAGAAGACATACAAATATTGGTTTTAACCAGTGACATCACATAACATTTCTGTCAAAGTATACACTTTTAGAAAATAGATGGAAAATGCCTAAAAGGAAAGATGTTATCTTTAAATGTAAATGTGTGGTTTGTGTTTGTGTAGAAAACTGTTGAAAATTCTTAAAATAGTTTCATCCTATGCCATATTATTTAACTATGTGATGTATTTTTTGAAAACAGTTGGAAAACAATTGTCATAAAAGAGGAACTTCTTAATCCTGTATTATTCTTTTCAGTCAAGTAATACATCTGTGGAAAACAACTAAAATGTGCTTGAAAGAAAGAAGAGACATTTTAAATCTTATGTTAGTCTTCAATATGTGCAATATATAGAAAGCAGCTGAAAAAGGCATGACAGAAATGAGGAATATTAATTAGTACTCTTGAAAACTTATACCTAAACATAGTTTGATCATTAAAAGACAATAATGAAGGAATAAACATCTCTTGAGGCAGATCAGATCACAGTTACAAAATAACTGGTTTGGTTTTAAAGCTTTTGCTAAAAATATTTTACATCATTAAATGCATATTATTAGATGAACATGGAAAGCTAACTGGAGTGATTTAAATAAGAAGACTCAGAAACAGTTTGTAATAAGAATTGTTAAAAGTTCACTAGGTTTGGTGTTTTTCCCCCTAAGAAAGGCAGTTTGTGAGGTAGTTTGTACTGGACATATATTGTAAAGAAATATACATTCCAGCTTCTTCAAAGAGCTCTGACTCCAAGAATCATATCCCCAAGTGAGCTACTCAACAGAGGAATCTTTTTTGTGCAGAATGCAAGAGGGGGAAAATGAGCTATCTTTGGGGGATTTTTTTTCTGAATAACTTTTTGTATAACTTTCTTTATTATTTTCCTGGATGGTTGGAGTCCTTCCTTAACTGTATACCAAAAGTGCTTTGGATGGAGTGGGAGGGGAGATATTAAGAATAGAATTTAGAAAATCAGTATTTGATCCGTCTTTTGTTTGCAAATACACTTTCACAGATTCGTTACTGAACTATGTTAAAGTAAGTGTGAAAGTTCTTTCAATAGTTCAATGACAAGCATTTTAAAATTTTAATTATTGGGGTCTGCTTTTTTAATTTTTTTTGGGGGGGTCTGTTTATTCTTAAAAATGCAGCTTAGTTAAAAACAAAACAAAAGATTTCTAACCATGCAAGTATTAGGGTCTATTAAAACTCCTCTCCAGTCAGTTAACTTTGTGACTAAGAATTCAAGTGAAGCTATTGGTATTAATAAATGGCCTTCCACATTTTATAGGTATTTTAAAGTTGTCACACATTTTTAGTAAACTGAAGTGACTCCTTCAAGGCATTACTCCAGAAAAGTCTGTGACATAAAAAAAAGAGTGAGGAAAAAATTAAAACTTTACAGACTATGTGTGAGCTGTATCTTTAAAATTGGCATAAATCGTAAAACCTTTAAGGCTTCTGTGTAGTTTCTAATGCATTTTTAGTAAAACAAAGTAAATTTGTGACTTTTCCATATACACATAAACAGATTTATTTATTATAATGAAGGCAATTAGAAAAATTAGCTTTAGATTTCAAATACATATGAAGTGTAAAGTAGCTATTAGAATCATCCCCCTATGGGTGGACAAAGATTGCTGTCATCCTATTTCATATTTCCACTCAGCACATTCATAAATTCATGTTTATTGCATTTGGGAGTACATTCTGTAGCTATTGTTTAAACTTAAAAAAATGATAAACATTTTTTTCTGATTCCAAATGCTTTGCTTAAACTCATAATATCACTTAAATTGAAAACGGACAAGTTGTAGGAATGCATCTAAACTGAAAAAGACATTTTGCTTTCAATATTTCTGTTATAAGGAAAAGCAAATCAAGGGTATCAAACACATCAAAGAGTAGATTTTAGTTTTCTTAGAAAATATGAACAAATACTAATGGGCAGGAATATAATAACCTACATGTTGAATATAAGTCATGTTTTGAATAGACAGCCAGTATTACACAGGACATGAAAGACTTCTTCTACATACAGATTTAGATTACATCATATTATGTATTGAGATATGATGAGTATACAAATGAAAATGTTTTCTGATTTGTTAACAATTTTTTTTAATTGATAAATGAGAAAGAGAGGGAGAATCATTTGGGTCTTAAATTTACTCTTTAAAATGCCTGTAAATTCATAGAAATCTCAATGTAAGCATTTCAATCTACAGAACATCCCAGGGACAAAAAGCCTGTTCCCATTTCATTAAGGATTATTTCTGCAGTCCCACGGAGAGCTGTCTAATCCCTGAGCTCATTTTAGATGTCTCTAAATTAGAATAGCAAGGGACTGTATATTCTATCCAGTTGAAGGTCTGGAAAATGACTCTACAGAATCTTGATAATAAGAAGGTTTCCACCTTACTAAACATTTCCTTGATTTTAAAGCTGGATGCCAGTCTGGGGTGCTTGACCATGTCTGTGCCTAATGAATAACAGCAAAATCTGCTTTAAGTGTTTATCATTTGGGTATACCTACACTTTTTAGTATTCTTAGATTTTTTTTCAAAAGACAAGGTCAGTATTTTTTAAATGGTGGCAAATTTTAGTTGTGGAAATATACAAAGTAGTTATGTATGATGAGAAAAAAAAAACTCTGCCTGGCACGTGAACAGACATTCTCTGAGCACCATATTCATAAGGAAAAACTGGCCTTGTGACTGAGCACTAGAAAAGTTATGAAAGCAGAGGACACCTTTTGTCAAACTATGTTCTCTGTGGAGATACAATATTCATTTAAACAGCCAATGACAGAGAAATGTCCATTTGCAGTAGAATGTTGTTACAATATAGTATGAAGTACACAGATAACAGTGCTTTCTAAACTCTAAAACGTCCTCCTCTTCCAAGTCAGGAGTGAATCAAGAGCGTAAATACTGTATATTTAATTTAGGAAATGAAATTCCATCAGGAAATCTTTCTGAGGAAAAACTATGGAGATTGTGAGTATTCTTGCTCAATAAAAAGTCAATACAAGTATATATGTATTAGTAAAAGGTCTCATTCATCTCTTGTATTTGGTAGCATTGGCTACATAAAAAGTGTCTCTCATCTCTAGGTATTCTCCAAGTTTATTTCTTCTTTAATGATAAGTTAGATATTATTAACGTTCCCTGTTTTGCCTTGGACTTCTTTTTGGATGGATCACATTCTGTTTCCCTTAATTTTCCAAGGAATCAGTACAAAAAAAGCTTCAGCTCAAGTGGTTCACCAGCTTCTCTTCTATGGTTCACATCGAGGATGCAGGAGGCAGTACAACTTGGGCCTAAACAGATCAAGAGGATGACAGGAATGGACTAATCAATAGCTTTTCTCCACCTTCTGACTGAAATGTCCACTTTGAGAACACTTCAAAAACTTGACTGGGGTTTAATCACCCACTCAGCTTGAGGATTTACATGATATACATCCAATATATAAGCATCTGGATCCAAGCAATGCTGTCCTGAAAGAGAAAAATCAGTTAATATTCTCAAGTGTGCAGTTTTCTCTTTGTATATGTATGTATGTGTGTAAGGTTCAGTCGAGGGCAATATAATTCTTTTAAGTTGATACATCTAAAAATTTCTTAGTGAAGACTTTTTTATTTTTATTTATTTTATTTTTTTTTTTAGTTACTTCTTTTTTTAAGTATAGGAAATTCTGAATGCAAATTTCATGTGAAACTTTCGAGAGACATGCAATTTATAGGCAAATTACTTATAATTACACCACTTAAAAAATACAGAAAGAACTTGATTCAGTGAAGTGGATTGTCTGTATGCCAGCAGACGTGACTCAATATTTTTACAGATAGAAAACTGACCAGGAATAGAGACGATTCAATTGAGTTTGGGCTAGGAATGGCCTTTACTTTTCTATGGAGGTAGTATTCACGAGCAAAAGATTCAGAAGGGGTAATGAGAATATCATTCTATGGGGTAATGACAGATTTGTACCATCTCACACAGATGACATGTTTGAAGTGTTTGCCAATGTTCAACAGAACTATTAAGATTTGCTGGCTTACTTGAGTCATTCATTCATCAATTTATTGAGCACTATAACATGCCAGATAGTATTCTAGGGACCAGGAATATGGCAATGCCGCAGGAAGCCAAACACACTTGCCCTAAAGGAGCTTACATTTTAATAGCAGGGAAAAAGTAATAGTAAATAACAAGTATAAAAGAAGTCACATAGTGAAAAGAATATGAGGAAGGCTATCAGGGACTGCACACGGGCAGTTTGGGTTTAGGGTTCAAGTTCGAAGAAAGTAATCAAGGAAGGTTCCAATGAGAAGATGAAACCTATGAGAGCTGGACTCAGCAGAACTGCCTTATTTTCAGAAGTCTTGTATGTTGTCTGCCTTTGATGGGGTAGAATGATACTGCTTTTCTAGTCCTCTTTAAGAATAGAAAAGACTGTCATTTCCCCTCTCTCATAGATTTCTACCTAACACAGAATCAGGACTTCATAAATTTTACTTTATCAGCAAAGATCAAAGGAGGTGATGAGTGAGAATATATGAGGGGAGGACATTCTGGAGAAAGGAAGATCCCAGACAAAGGGTCTAGACAAAAAGTATACCTTGTGATTAGACACATGAGTTGGTTGTTCACTGGGAAAGTTGGAAATCTAATCTTGAGTGACAGCAGCATACACATAAATTTTTTTTTTTATTATTCCTTCACTCCTGCAAGTTGTAGCTAAACAAATAAAAATACTAGGGTGGTACACTCTCTTATTATGTACTGTCAAGTTGAAACTGATCTATAGCTGATCCTCCAGAAAGTTTTAAGAGGCAGTAAATTGCATGGGAGAAGATTTCTCATCTTTCTCCCATGTAGCAACTGGTGGATTCAAACTGCATGCCTTCAGGTTGGCAACACAGCTTATTATTACTAGGCGTACACACACACACACACACACACACACACACACACACACACGCAGAATAGTGGCTCTTTTCCTCAAAGTTTGACTTCTTTAGGCTATTGTCTTTAATCTGATCCACCTGCCCCAACTCTGCCCTGCCTGTAAGCACCTGACATGCCTACATCATCAACAACTGCTTGAGCCATTTCTTCCCCATGTAAATAGGGCATGTTAGTCAATCCACAAGAGGATTAGCTTGACATTAAACTGAACATATTCAGTGACAAAAAGTAGGAATCTCACCACCAGGGAGACAGGGGAAGCAGAGAAAGCATTCTTCTGGACCAGAGGTTGCTGCACCAGTGATAGAATCTTGCTGTTAACAGAGAAGCTCTCTGGACTCAGAGATTCTATCTTGCTATTAAACTAGAAGTTCTCTGGGTTGTTTCTTGTTGTTAACCTAGGTTATAGCCTACTTATGTCCCTAATAAATCCCAGATCTGAGTTTGGTCCTGTGAAGTGTTAGCAGTCACTGCAATGGATTTTGGATTCAGGAGTGTGTGAGGACATTCCTGAGTAATGCAGGTTATTGATGAATTTTCCACCAATACTGATGCCACATTCTTCCTCGTACAGCCCAGTATCTCGGATGATGTGTTCTGCATACAGATTGAAACGGTATGAAGACAGAATACATCCTTGGCAGATGCCCGTTGCAATTTTGAACCATGTAGTGTCTCTCCTTGCTCTGTTCTGACAACTGCCTCCTGTTACAAGTATAGGTTTTGCATAAGCACGATCAAATGTTCTGGGATTTCCATTCTTCTCAGAGTTAGCCATGGATTGTTATGATCCACAAAGTCAAAAGCCTTGGCATAGTCAATGAAGCACAGATAGACATTCCTCTTGTATTCCCTGCTTTCAGGCAAGATCCATCTAACATTAGCTATAATATTCCTACTACCATGAACTCTTCTAACTCCAGCCTGTACATCTGTCAGTTCTCTGTTGACATGTTGCTCCAATTGTTTTTGGATCATTTTCAGCATAATCTTGCTTGCGTGTGATATTAATGATATTGTTCGGTAATTTCCGCACTCTGTCAGGTCACTTTTCTCTCGAATGGGAACAAATATCAATCTCTTCCAGTTAGTTGGCCAGCTGGCTGTCCTCCAGATTTTTTGGCACAACTTAGTGAGCCTCATTAAATTTTCTAAATATTGCTGAAAAATCATGAATTGTTCTCAAGTAAGATTTTAAAGTCAGAAATTTACTGACTTTGCACTTTTCCAAAGAAACTGAAAAATGTATCTTTATAAAAGTAGCAAATATCTTTAAATCATTATTATTTCTTCTGAAGAATTAAAGCATCTAGGTGTAAAAATTTTTCAATAACACTTACCTATATTTCCTCCAATTTCATATAATCTTTGGTTTTGGATCGTAACATCTTCTGATGAACCGTGACTAAAACAAGAAAGCAGATAGAATTTTTCTTAGTCTATTTTTATGATTCGAGTTAAATCTGTGGATACAATAACTATGTTGTTTTTTTAGGTGCAATTGAGATGATGATGGTACAAGATAGGGCAAAGTTGCACGGACAAACAGAGGAGGGAGTTAAGCACCAAATAGAATTTTGATTAAGTAGGCAAAACATGTTGCCAATTTACAACGTTAAATGGCAATATACTACAGTTATTACTAGTTAAGAGAACAGATAGGGAAAGATCTTTTTAAGATGGCGATATAAGATGTAGTTAGCAAGCAATTCCTGAATATATTTTTAATAGAAACATCTTTCCACAAAAATTGTAAGTCATTTTTGTAACACATGTAACTCTCTAACTCTAACCAAATTTCTAAATGGCTAAGGTATATTTAATATTTCTGGCAAACACTGTTGCTCAAAGGCAATTCTTTCTTAGTCTTCCTTATTCATTGTCCAGTTTTTGCATGTGGATGGAGTGATTGAAAGTACCATGGCTTGCCAAAAGAACAAACAAAGTTGTCTTTGAAGAAGTGTGTACAGATTCTCTTTAGAAACAAGGATGATAATACATTGTCTCACATACTTCAGGTATAATATTAGAAGAAATAGTCCTAAAAGACAACCTGGTAAAGTTCAGAGTCAGTAGAAAAGAGAAAGATACTCAGCAAGATGGATTTACACAATAGCTGTAACAATGGAGTTGATCTTTTCCTTCACTATGAGTTGGAGCCAAATTGATGATATCTAACAATAAAAACAAATATTTGTTGTCTAGTTATAACTATTGTAGTATTGCAGGTAGGCAGGCCAGCTTCAGAAATGAATGTTTTTGTATGTCTGCAGGGTTTTTATTGGCCTCAGTCTACTCTCTTCTATCTCTTTTTTGTAAGTTATAATATATCAGGAAAAAAATACATACAACTTAATGAAATTTAACTAAGGGAAAATCATATAACTAACTCCCAAGTTTAGAAAAGTTGTTTGAAGTACTTTCTACATGCCATGCCTTCCTAGTCATGATCTCTTTTATCCCTACCAGAAAATAACTCTTGATTCTAACAACATAGATTATTTTTACCAGCTACTCCTGGTGGTTTAGTGGTAAAAAATTCTCCTGCAGATGCAAAGACATATGGTTTGAATCCACCACTCTAAAACATTACTACAGTCAGGATACAGACTGATAAAATATAATCTTATTCAGGCTGGCTAAATGGTGTGTGTATATGAAGATGGTGTATTCATCATAGTTGAGATGCTAAAACAGTTCCCACTCTGCAATGGCTCTCCCTGTTGTTTCTGAACAATACTGATCTTCCTATGATGAACTCTCTGTTCACCTCCACACTCACCTTTTTCTCCCACCCCATGTCTCAAAAAAGTTTTTAGAAGTACTCAAGCCCCATTTTTAGAAGTACGTTCTGCAAATTATGCCTTCTTAGACACTATCTCTTCTAGCCCTACCAGAAAACCATTCTTTTTGGTCATTCCATGTCTGGTAACAACTAACTTGTTTTCTAGTTGTATAAGTTTTTCATTGAAAAATGTTATTTAAATGGTATCATATAGTGTGTTTTTGGTTTTCTTTCAGCTCAACATAGCTGCTTCTTTGTAATATACTAAAAAGGGTTTTTTTAAGGATATTCAACAGAGGTTTAACAGGAGGTGATCAAACTGTACTTACTCTCCAAGCCATAGATTTAAGTAATACTTCCAATCTTTAAAAAGCTATTTTGATGATTGTTTGTCATTGAATAAAACTGTCTAAATAAAAATTATCAGGTTTATGATTTTTCTTTTGATTTACTATGGATGTGTAAAGAGAATTTTAAGACAATTCCATAAATGGAAGAAGATACCATGCCCATGAATAGAAATTTTTAACAATACCAAACAATCTATCTATGGGCTCAAAGCTCTAATTCAGATCCTGACACCATTCTTCAAAGAGATGGGAAAAATAACCACCAACTTTATATAAAAAGGAAAAATATCCTTGACAAACAAAGCTCTACTGAAGAAGAAAAAGTCAGAAGCCTTATAATTCCATTTCTCAACATCTACTATGTAGTTAGAGTAATCAAAAGTTGGACAGTGACAACAGATACAAAGACAAATTTAAGAGAATGTAGAAGTAAATCTATCCATCTGTGGTCAAATGATCTTTAGCAGCAGGTAAAACCAATTAAATAGGGGAAAGCGCTTCTTTCAACAATGGTTCTGGCTAGATTGGATATATATCTGCAGAAAACTTGAACAACATCCATACCTCACACTATATTTTTAAAAAGGAAAACTAACACAAAGTGAATCAAGAACTCTAAGCAAAAACAAAAACTGTAAAAATCATCAGAGCAAAAACAGGAACCCTGGACATGTCACAAGGCTTTGCCAAGAAATGTGGAGGAACAACTACCAGGCCAACTGACTGGAAGAAATCTATATTTGTTCCCATTCCAAAAAAAGTGACCCAACAGAATGTGGAAATTATCAAACAATATGACACTCAAGCAAGATACTGCTGAAGATTATCCAAAAATGACTGGAACAGTACATAGAGAACTACCAGAAGTGCATGCTTAGTTTAGAAAAGGCTGGGGACATCATAGCCAATGTCAGATGGATCTTGGCTGAAAGCTGAGAGTACCGGAAGAATTCCTACCTGTGTATAACTGACCCTGCAAAGAGATTTGACTGTGTGTAACATTTAAATTACGGCTAACCTTGAGGAGAATAGGAATCCCAGAGCACCTAATTGCGCTAAAGTAAAATCTGTACTTGGACCAAGAAGCAATCATCAGAACAGAGTAAGGAAATACTGCATGGTTCAAAATCAAGAAAGGAGTGGGTCAAGGATGTCTCCATATCTTTTCAATCTATATGTGGAACAGATTATTCAGGAAGCTGGACTTTATGAGAAAGAATGTGGCATCAGGATTGGAAGAAGACTCATCAACAACCTGTACTAGGCAGATGACACAACCTTGCTTTCCAAAACTGGAAAGAATCTAAATTGTTTGCTGCAGAAGGTACATGACTGCAGTCTCAAATATATACTGAAGCTCAACATAAAGAAAACAAAGATTCTTACCACTGGACCAAATAGTATGATAGGCCACTATGATAGATGGAGAAAACATTGAGATTGTTAACAGTTTCAGCTTACTTGGTTCTACAGTCAACACTCTTGTCACCAGCAGTCAGGAAATCGAAAGACAAATTGGAAAAATAGGAAAATCTGCTGTCAGAGATCTCTCCAGAGTACCAGAGATGTCAGTCTAGAGACTAAGGTGCAGCTGATTCATGCCAGGTCTTCACCACTATTTGCTAGGCATCAAAAAGGAGCTGGACATCGACTAAGGATTACAGAAGAATTGATGCCTTTGAGTTGTGGGGCTGGAGAACAGTGTTGGATCACTAAGAGTGCAGGCAACTTGATGGCATGTAATAACAACATGAAACACTGAAAAAAAAATGAAGATTTTGATGAAATACCATATAATATGGGTTAGTCTAGAGTACACTATGCTATATGACCTATGGCACTTATAAAAGGACAAATATTGTTTAATATCATAGTTATAACAAGCTACAGAAAGGTTTACATACAAAAAGAATCAATCTAATAAGGCTACCATGTAAGGAGAAGGAGAGGTAGAAAATTAATTGATAGACAAATGAACATTTATTAGGATAGATAAAGGGAAGGACAATGTGAAATGAATACACAATCAGGGATTATGAGTACTGTAATTACTGTTACGGAGCAAAATGTGCACGGATGGTTTACCATAAAAAGTGGGAAATATCCTTATGATCACAAGGATTATTCTTAGCACATTTAAAAGGAAACAGATGTTGTTAGGATCTGTCTAGTCAAGTATCACTCATAGTGACACTATGAGCAACAGACCTGAACCTTGTCCTATCCTGTGCCATCCTCATGATCTGTGACACATTTGAGACTATTGTTGCAATCACAGTGTCAATCCATCTCATTGGGAGTCTTCCTCTCCTTCACTGAACCTTCATTTTTTTCTCCAAGCATAATGACCCTTCCCAAGGAACAGTCTCTCCTAAGCAACATGCTCATAGTATTAGATATAAACTTTCACAATCTTTGCTTACAAGGAGCATTCTGGCTTCACTTTTTTCCAAGACATATCTGTTTTTTTGGCTACATGGGATATTCAGCACTCTTCTTCAACACCACACGTCATAGGCATCAATTCTTCTTCTTCTGTCATTCTTAGTCACTGTCCAGCTATCAGGTACATAGCAAGTGACTGAAAAAACTATGGCTTGAATAAGGTATATCTTAGTTTTCAAATCATTGCTCTTCAGTATTTTTAAGAGGTCTCTGACAGCAGACTTGCCCAATGATCTCCTGACTGCTGGTACTGAGGGTTTTGATTGTTGATCCAAGAAAGATTAAATAATTTAGAATTTCAAACCCTTTTCCATCTATCATATTGCCTAATGGTCCAGGGATGAGGACCTTTGTTTTCTTGATGCTGAGATATAGTCCATACCAAAGGCTGTTGTCCTTGATCTTCTACAGCAATTGTTTCAAGTTCTCCTCACTTTCAGCAAGCAAAGTTGTATCATCTGCATGACATAGTTTGTTGAGGAGTCTTTCTCTGATCCTGATGTCACATTCCTCTAATAAAGTCTCGCTTCTCAGATTATTTGCTCAGCATAAAGATTGAACAGGTAAGGAGAACGGATACAACACTTCCTCACTTTAAACCATGCTGTGTTCCCTTGTTCTGTTTGGACAACAGTTTCTTGTTCTAGGTATAGATTTCATATGAGCACAATTAAGTATTCTAGAATTCCCATTCTTACAAATGTTAGCCATAATTTGTTATGATTCACACAGTCAAATGCTTTTGCATAGTCAATAAAAACCAAGTAGACTTTTTCTGGTATTCTCTGCTTTCAGCCAGGATCCAACTGACATCAGCAGTGATATCCCTTTTGCATAGTCAATAAAAAACAAATAGACATTTTCTGTTATTCTCTGTTTTTAGCGAGGATCCAAGTGACATCATCAATGATATCCCTTGTCAACAGCCTTTCTTAAATCCTGCTTGAATTTCTGGAAATTCTCCATCAATGTACTGTTCTAGCCATTTTTTTTTAAATTATCTTCAGTGACATATTATTTGCATATGATACTCTTTGATAATTTCCACATTCTGTTGGATCACCTTCCTCAGGAATGGGCACAAATATGGATTTCTCCCAGTCAGTCAGCCAGGCAACTATCTTTCAAATTTCCTGGTGTAAACTAGTTAGCATGTCCAGGTCTGTACTTGTTAGCTGAAACATGTCAACTGGTATTCTATCAATTCCTGTGGGTTGATTTTTTGCCAATGCCTTCAATGCTGCTTGAGCTTTTTAATCTATTACCATTGGCTCTTGTCCATATGTACTTCCTGTAATTTGTCAATGCTGACCAATCCTTTTTGGAACAGTGACTTTGTGCTCTCTTTATTGCATAAAATTTACAGTGCATAATAACAAACAAGAATAAGCTGATGGAAAAATGTTAAAGCTCAGTGGTACACAGAATAGCGATATTCATAATAATCATTCACCTTGATATCTACAAAACCAGCTTGCTGTATTTTTAAGTCTAAATAGAGAAATAGTTAAAAACTCAGTTGATACTGAAAACCACAAAAAAGATACCTGATGAGAATACCATTTGTAGAAATTCTTTTGAGAAGCAACCTTTATAAGTAGATAATTCTGTAATCTACCAACTTCCTCTTATTTTGACTCTTACCCTAACAGTTAAATCCCCAAGGTTTCAGATTTTTCATAAAGGTCAAATTTTAAAATGCCTGAAAATCATTCATCTGATAAAAATTCACTTTTGTGCAAATGCCTTCATTCACTGTTACTCACCTGTTCTCATATTGAAATTTTGCCAATATATCTCTGGCTTTGGTTTGACTATTAAGTTGAATGGCCATGGATACCTTGGAGAGAAGTGGAGCGTGGACTCGAATGACTCCTTCAGGTACATCAGACTGCCAATGAGAAAAAAAAATTCCAAAGTATATTTTGTCAAATTTCCCTGAATCACATTACAATGACTGCATTTAAGGGACATCAATTAAAAAAGCTTGAAAATATACTTAACTAGAATAAAATATTGCTTCAATTTCCACTGGGAGATTAGCTGATGTCTATAGCTATTCTGAGACTTTACTATTGTTATATCCTAGGCTTTACAATAATTACTTACAGGCATAAGAAAGTAAAATTGAACCATGATAGAAATAGAATGTTTCTTTCCCTAAATTTCCTTATACAATGTCCTAAATAAGCCTGTTTTAAGCAGAATTAGGTATATTAAGATCAACCTTTTGAACATTTAAAGTATAAATTAAAAATATGACTTCTAACAAACACATGAAGAAATGCTCAAAATCCCTAGCCCTAAGAGAGATGCAAATTAAAACA